CTAAATAGTAAAGTGCTATGTAAAGCATTAGTACTCATTCATCTCATTTCTTAAAATAACTATAGAGTTCATTGCTTAATCTGGCCCTCATCAGTACCAATCATATGTATCACTTTGGTTAATGTTAATATTTTGTGATGTTTTTATCTTCCATTTTGCATATTTGTCATTTTTAAGAACCAAGGCAAAAGAGTCAATCAAAGGAAGAAAAAAATGTTAGAAATTTGACTTATAAATGTAGGTAAATAAATTGGGTCTGGTGTCTTATTTGCATTGGCTACCTTCTAAATNTTCTGTGGGCTGTCATTTCACTTTCTTGATGGTATCTTTTGAAGGACCAAAGTTTTTGATTCTGATGAAGTCTAATTTATTTTTTCCTTTATTGCTTGTGTTTTGATGTCATATCTAAGAAACTATTACGTTAATCAACATCACAAGGATTTACTCTTATGTTTTCTTCCAGGAGTTTTACAGTTTTAACTCTAAAATTTAGTTCTATGGCCCAATTTGAGTTAATTTTTATGCATGGTGTGAGGTAGGGGTCCAACTTCATTCTTTTGCTTGTGGATGTCTGGTTGTTCCAGCACTATATGGTGGGAAATTATTCCTTTGGTACCCTTGTCAAAAATCAATTGAACATTAATGTATGATATATTTCTGGACCCTCAATTCCCTCATATACTGTCTCTTATTTAAAAAAAAGAAAAACTGAATGATAGACATTTTCAGAGTAAAATTCAAAAAGTAAAGAGCTGATTCTGATAAAGATGATTTTAGTAAAATAAGTTTAAAATTTTTTAACTTTGCTGTATGAAAAACTGATCAAGAATTCAAACTGTCTTAAAATTCAAATCAAAAATAGTTTCTTGATGAAAACTGATTATGGTTGGGACAATTTTCACTAAAATTTCTATATTCAGGAAGGAAGAGTTGAAACATGCTCAAGGCAAAAGTGACATGGTTATAAGTTCTTAAACTCACTATCAGAATATCCAGTTAGTCCCTGAGCTAATGTGAGGTAGAATGCAAAGAGCTGTTTCAAATTCAAGTAATAGTTTAAATGTATTCTGACATTTGAGCCTAGGGGAAAAAACCTCAGAATTTAGGGGAAGGGGCTGGAAGGATGGTATTAACTACAAGAGGTTTGGAAAAGAAAAGAAAGTCAAACACCCACTTCAAAGGTCCCTACAGACTCCTCTTTTCTCCAGACATCCTTATTCTCCACCCTTCAGAGATTCTGAACACTTCTCTACAAAAACTGATGACTAATTCAAACCACAAGTTGAAATCAGAACTGTATTTATATGCGCAGGCAAAATACAGTTATTTAGAAATGAGTTTTAAGCCAAATACAATATTCCTGTGAAATCATCTCACATGGCAAAGTAATTCTTTGGAAGTAAAAAAAAAAAAAGCTCAGGGGACACTTTAAAATTAACCATTTCAAAGCAATTGAGATTTAGTCTAGTTTGAAGAAAAAGAGTTACTTTGAATGTATGATACAGTAAAACACGACATATTAGAGCCTCTCCTCTGAAATACCTAGAGATGGTGCCATGGTCTCCATCACCTGACTTAAAATAAAAATTGAACATAAAATGTAGTTGACTGCAACAAATGAGCACACTACAGTTTTACATTTCATCTGTGATTAATGATGGTACACTATAATGCTGTATTCAAAGAACATCTTAAAATTA